TTCAACTATAAAATGACAGGGTTACCCACAGGAAATACAAAGGTGAGGTTCCTACCTGCAACTGTGGGTAACAGGGTCAGAATGAACACGGTGGAGTCTCAAGAATGTGAATGGCCTGGCTGGTGTGGCTCAGTGGTTGAGCATCGACCTATGAACCAGGAAGTCACGGTTTGATTCCCAGTCAGGGCACATGCTGGGGTTGCCGGCTCGATCACCAGTAGGGGGCGTGCAGGAGGCAGCTGATCGATGATTCTCATTATTGATGTTTCTATCCCTCTCTCCCTCTCCCTTCTTCTCTCTGAAATCAATTAAAATAACATATTAAAACAAAAATAACTGCATTTGCTAGGTTCAAAGTACAACAACAATCGGTCTCATTCTTTTAAAAAAAATAAATATATATTTTGTTGATTTCAGAGAGGAAGGGAGAGGAGAGATATTGATGGGCTGCCTCCTGCACAAACTGGGGATCAAGCCCAAAACACAGGCATGTGCCCTGACTGAGAATCAAACCGTGACCTCCAGTTCATGGGTCGATGCTTACTAGTAACAACTGAGCTATACTGGCTGGGGATGCAGTTAATCTTTTAAAGCTGTTTCCTTCTGTAGTACTTGTTCCTGGGTACTGTTAAAGTTGAGGTTGAGAAAATACGCAAAGTAAAGCTGTATTGAGCATCTATCACACACACACACACACAAATGACAGAGTCAGACAGGATCAGTGGTTTCCAACCTTCTCACTTCAAAGCTTCTTTTAGTATTTTCTCTCCGCAAGAGCCTCACTTTTGGCAAGATTTTGTCTCCTGTACAACCTGCAGCAAGTCATTTCTCCCTTTTTACTAATTAAAGCCTCGTATCACAGCCATTAGAGCTTGTGGTCATGAGGAGCAAGCCAGGTGACTACCATATTGTTGGTGTAATTCCAGCCCAAAGCAGAGACCAAGCTAGCTCGGTTACCTTTCACTTACTCTGTACTGTTTCTCTGGGTCCCTCTGGAACATTGACAAGAACTCAAGGGACCCCTACTGCCCTCAGGGATCCTTCAGCCAGGAATGCCAGGCGGAACTCATGGAACTGGATGTTCTCCTTCAAGTCCCCTCCAGCCAAGAGCTGGAGCTGTTGTGTCAGGGAGATGTGAATGTCAAGCTGCCTGCCCACCCAGCTCTCCTCTGAACCATGGTAATGGTCCCCCGCCAATGAGAGAGAGACCCCTGTCCTCTTCTCTCCAGGGACACGAGAGGGAGGGGACATGCTGTACCACCTGAATGCTCAGAATTCCTGAGGGCTGTCATCAGTGAGGACCCCCACATTGATGTACATGTGGGCTTGCACAAAGGCTACATGAGTCGCACAAAACCCAAACTCCGATGGGGTGATGACATTTGAAATATGCCTTTTATCTTTTCCTTGGTGT